CCCGGAACCCGGAAACTTAAACAATACTGAATTACAAAAAACATTTAAAAAACGAACATGTTTCATTGATATATATACAAAAATGAATATTAGGAACTATATTTATCAAACATTATACTGGGCAAGTAAAAATTGTTTGTGGGCAAATGATGTGAAAGTCACTTGCCAGAAGGGCAAGTGGTAAAAAAACGTCAACCCCTGTATATATTTCTTAATAATTAGACATCAGGACCTTCTGGGATGAACTTAATCAAATTCGAGGGTAACTTCTAGCACATGGTTACTATTGCTGATCATGAAATTCGTAAACAATTTTAACACAATGATAATTTAATAAACAAAATAAATTGCATGGAAGTATTTGGATTATTTGCACATGAAGTCAAATCAACCTGTGTCTGTTAATTCCTGTTAAGATTCTCAAAAGCGACAAAAAAGAAAGGCTGTCGGCAGCCTAACATCACTTTAAATAGGAAGTTTCATTGTGAAAGCAGTTATGGTCCGCTACCCATTAACAGGCTGTGAGCAACTGCGAAGTTCAGACAAACAACGATTTTATAACTGCTAAAGTGTGTAGATGTCATCAGGATGCATGACTCTTCTCTGTCAATCAAACATGTTTGACCGATAGAGTAGCACACGCCCACTGCGGAACGTTTGTCAAAATTATTCAATCAAACAAATTTGAAATTCAAAACTTTTTGCACTTCCAAAAAAAATTAAACATTTTTGAATAATAAAGACACAAATGTCCTACCCATTATATGGTCCAATCAAAAAACAATGTTACATCAATTTAAAAAGTTACTTTAAAACAAAAAAAGACTGCACTTCTATCAAATAAAGCATTTTTAATTAAAGAAAAGCAGCATTCAAATGTATTTTTTTGAGTCTCAAATACATTTTTGCATTCAAATAATTTTTTTTCTTTGATTGAAAAGTTTTTCTTTCATTGAAGTGAAGATTTTTTTAATTGAAAATATATTTTTTGATTGAATAATAAAGAAACAAATCTACCTTCATAGAAACATAGGAGCTATTTTATGGATTTAATGTTCAATAGTTATAGCTACTGCTGTTAAACCATTTTTATAATCTGGATTCTGTGATCATTTAGTTTCTTGGTGGAGATGCTGCTTCCAAGTCCTGCTGCTGCGTGTTGTCGCGGTGACTCAGCCTGCTACACTGTAAACCTAAATGTTAAAAGCCGTTAATAAAGTGAGTGCTTAAAACGTATTCTGTAGAAACTCTACTAACACAAATGCGCTGAGGCAGAGTAGCACATTCTTTTACAAGCCCATTTAACTCAATCCTATGGATTAGTCTGATTCATTTGTGTATTAATGGGGAATAACTTAAATAACTTAGTGAGGAACAAATGAGGAAGTACAGACCCCATTGAATGATTAGTTGACAGTGGGTGTGGCTAGAGCTGCAGCTCCATCAGTGAGGTTGCTGTTAGATTTAGAGGACTGTTCAAACTTGCTCCTTACAAGGCTGCAGAATGTAAAAACTAAACATCTGCAGGGTTGTTTAATGAAGCAATTTACTTAAAAAATAATACAAAACAATATATAGATTTTACGGGTGGAACGGTTCACAAAATCCACGGTTCGGTTCGGTTCACGGTTTCGTGGTCACGGTTTGGTATATGTTTATTGTTACACC